TCAAGCGTTCGCAGAGATATTTATTACAAAACCGCTCTTTTCATAGAAAGTCTGCTTCTATTATAGCTTATAGAACCTTATCGCAGTAAGTTCCATACTTAGTTCGTAGAGTTTACTTTTAAGTTTCTTATAAGTGAATTTAACAAAGTCCTTAAATGTATTTTGCCATCGGGGATGTAAAACGCGTATTATTTAATATTTTAACGAGTTTCCTGTTCTGTTATTGTTACTTTTATGGTACTTATGTTACTTTACACATACTGTTAACATGTGAAAACAAATTTAAATTATTTAAGTACCGATAGTCAACAGCAGGTTAGAATTATACACTTTGGATTTTGGAACTCTTTATTGTCAGTGGTATAAAGTTAAATTTGGATTGAATGTTGAATTTGCCGTACAAATAATAAAATCATAGAAAATATAAAAGATTTTTTGATGAGGAAAAGTTTTTTTAACCCCAGACGTAAAAAAGAGGGGAGTTTATAAGTTAAGCCTTGGTCAGACAGAGACAGAGATGGGTTAAAACCCAATCAACCCGCCAGGGCTTTCACCCAAAGCGCTTTTTAACTCATTTCAGACCAAAACCTTCGGCATCTTCGGCAGAAACGGCAAAAGCGGAATTTAGTATAATTCCATACTTATTACAAATTTGGGCGTTAAAAATCTTTTTTATATGAAACAGGCACCACACAATACCTACCTTGCAATCTCGTGGATTCGTACTACTAATGATGCAAATTACTATTAGACTTTTACGAAGTCGATTCAAGTGCGTACGATGTAACGATTTTTTGTATCGATTTATTTCAATGCGATTTTCAAACGAATAGGTTCAGCAGAAAGGCAGTTCGAATCGTCTAGATCAGGCCCCTGATTTTAACTCAAATGGGATATGTGATGGGCTACCCCATCCGCAATGTCGGGATCGGGAGAGGCAACCAAAATTAAGCTACAGAAAGCAATAAACAATTTTGTAGTATTAAATTAGAAACAAAATTTGATTTTCAACAAATAATTACTAGTAAGTAGTTTTTGCTCTCGATTTCGGGCATTAATGGGTTTTAATCCGATTTAACAGGCGTTAATAAAGCACCGAGTTATAACCCGGGCGCTTCGGGGTGGATCTTTAGCTATGTACGAGTATGTTGACATAATCTGTTCAGATGTTTAGTAGGGTGCTGATGGAACTACAGGCACATTGGTTTGGTAAATTTTATGTTTCAGCGTGACAGGGGCAGTAGCAGCGTCCCCCAGGTCTATGCGATTTAACGTTCTGAGTGTCACTGCAACTGTTAAGTACAGGCATGTTACTTTTTAAATCGGCGTGAACCGATTTTGATGATTTCTTTTTGTTGGAAAGAGGATCATGTACTTAAGAGTTATAACTCTTGTCGGGTCTTGTCGGTGGTTGGAGCCTCTTCCAGTCATCTCTCCTACAAGTCAGCTCCTTGACCTCCTTATACGACACGAAACCGGCCTTTTCCTTTATTTGGTCTATGTAACTGCGCCTAGGTCGACCTCTTCCCCTCTTCCCCTCGATCTCCAAAATGGTCTTAAAGAAGTTGTCATGTCGTATCAAATGTCCAATAATTTTCCCGCGTCTATACTCTCCACCTCTAAGGTTATATATTAGGGGATGAACGAAATGGATGACACGCACTCACCGTTAACCGATTTTAATAAATTGATTTAATTCCACAAAATAATGGCGTCGTTTTTGTGAAAATATTCACTAGTTTTTTTTTATATTTTATTAACTCAAATGATTAAACTCAAAAAACACTTATGAAAAACATAGATAGATATACACTTTATTGCACACACACAGGAACAAAAACAGAGACAGCTTAAAACTAATGTGGGCAAAGGCTGCCTTATCGATAAGAGCGATCTCTTCCAGACAACCTTGAGACATAGGGAAAACTAATCAGAGCGGGATACGTAGTGTGCCAATCGCAAAATTTGAATTTTCCGTAACCGATACAATAAAACTTGGCAAATAATAAATAAATAAATAACGCACACACTCAACATAGCCCCGCACTAGGGAAACCCTGTGTCGCGGGTGCCATGGACACACACATAGACAACCACAAATTACACCCAAACTCACGAGAGAAATAAATGTAGGCCATACAAATATTTCTCCCGGCCCGGGAATCGAACCCGGGGACCTCTGCGTGGCAGTCCGGTATGGTAACCGTTCGGCCACGGAGGCAGTTATATGTAATTAATTATATTATATGTAAATAATATATGTAATTCCACGACCTTTTGAGGTCTCAAGTCTTTTTTTTTAAGGCGGTTGACCAAACATAGAGACATCTCTAGCCGTGGCTGGTAGCTGTAAAGGTATCTAACTGGGTGACGAAATATCGTAGATTTCTCGTAAATGGGGCTACGGCTAAAAAGTCGTTGAAAAACCAAATACAAAGATACGACGCAAGCACATAGAAAAATTCGTGAGGTCCGTTGGCTCGTCCTGTGGCTTAGTTTGTATAGCGTCTGGCACGGTATGCTAGAAGACGTTGGTTTGAATCCGGCCGGATCTAAGGAATTTTTCATTCGATCTTTGTATTAATAATAACAAAACAATTATAACAAAAATTACTCGTCTAATAATAAAGTCACTATATTATTGATGCAGATAGTGACAGTCTATATGTACCATACCTTACGTAGAAGTAGAACTTCTATTTTACCTATGTCCGCTGCCAAGCAGTAATGGGAGCATTATTGTATTTCGGTTTTGAAAGTGAAAGGTACTGGTGAAATTACAGGTACATGGAACTCATCAACTTATATCTCAGGGCGCAGAGGCAGTGTCTCATTAGATCTTGGTGATTTAAAGCTCTGTGTGGCATTGCAACCGCTATGATTATTATTGAGAATATTTTCTGACTTAACTAATTTAAAGTTACAGCTGTAAATTGTCCCCTATTGATAGCAAAATATATTATTGTAATTTTACTAAAATTTGTCATGTTGTCACCGCGCTGACGTGTGATTGGTCGAGAATAAAAATAGACACGTGAGCGGGAATTATTGTCATTGGTTGTGTTGTTACCGCGCTGAAGTATGATTGGATGAGAGCACAATACACACGTGAGCGGGAATAATTCTTATTGGATCACAATGAAAAACTCCACACTTTACCTGTTATCTATACGTTTTGTCTCTCTATTCATGAAAATGAGAATAATTGGATGCAGCGTCATCTTTACATTTGATGATTACGTATTTTTTTTTTGACAGCTCCGAGCATAAGTACTTCAACATTATATCTACTACAGTTGGACGTTTCGGACTATCAAAAAAGAAAGAGATGGCATACAGTTCGTATAGCGTTATTTCTTTTTTTAGCTAGTAATTGACAATAGTGGGAAATTTATTGGTTGACTGTCATGGTACAAATCTTCTTCTTATCGCATCAATATAACTATAGTAATTGTAGCCCAGAACTCAGTCACGCCGACCGCGTCATTAGTAGCTGCCATTAAATCCTTAAGCGGGCAAGTGTTCGGGCGTGCAGGGCACGATATGAGTTGGGCCATCGTTTGAATCGCACCGTACAAACAATCCAGGTTAGAACTATCCGAAAACAACCTGAACAAATTGTCCTCCGATCAACCTGAGACCCGAAGCCTATTTAAAGACTTTCAGATCGGCCATGGCAATTCGTGACCAGGAGGAAGACTCTCAGAAGACGGGACAGATGCGGGACAAAGGTTTCACCTCGCCTGACCCGGCGCAATACTCAGCGGATCCACACATTTGACAAAACTTTTCCGGCTCCTAAGTCTCTGTTGCACTATGAAGTGATCGTGCATAGGGGGATGATATAAATATGAGATAATGGTATAATGAGATGATGGTGTAATGATGGTATAACTGAGCGTGGCGAGGGTTTCAAGGCACGAGACGCAAAACAACTTTGCTGCTTCGCTCGGCACACAACACGACACACAACTTTTCACCTCACAATAGCGAGGAAAATGATAGATGAAAGAAAAACAGTTGAAATAAAAAATTTTCTTCATTTGTTTTTCAATTTAGTTTATAAACAGAAATTGGGCTATCCGATATAGATATAGATTCCATTGTATTCAAATTGTATTTTAACATGTTTCTAGTTAAGACTGATAACCAGTTTTGTAAGCCAAATTAAAAAAAAAGAAATCAGTTTTAATAAACATAATTAGTTATCGTTGTCAATTTAATGTCAACAATGATAAGAATAAAATATACCAACGGATTTATATTACATAAATAATGTACGACAAATCGCATAGTTGTACGTGTCATAATGTTTCCTTTTTATAGAAAGAAAAAGTTAGGTGCGTCACAGTCCATCGTGCAGTTCGAATTCGAAAAACTTTTTCCACGCTATCGTGGAAATAACGCTTATGCGCGAAGGTGCGCAGGTTTCAAATGAGAAAGAAAGCCGTTCAAAGCTAGTGAGGTGAAAATTAAAAAAAAATTCTAAATCATTTGTTTGGGGATAATAAACATTTAGAACTCTTTTCAAGTTGTAATCTGATTAAACTCAATGTCGTTTCATATAATAATATTATTATAAAGGGCTATGTCGTGTCGTCGTAAATAATTTTATGACACTGGTAACACAATCGGTATCAAAATTTTTTTTGTGCCGTCATTTTCATGTCATAAATGTCATTCGTGCTTTGTTTCGCGAATTCGAATGTTTTCGTGTCTCCGTAGTATTTTGTTTATTGTTAATATTTTATAATAGCTGTATTAAATTGTAGAAAATGAGAACCTCCTCCTTTTTCAATTTCGATAAAAATATAAGGTTTGACAACGACACCCTTTGACAACGACATTTCGTGACATTTCTTTGTTTACATTTTGGGCATTATGATTCATACCATAATATCAAATTAACGTCAGAATATTCCCCAACTAAAACTTATTATGTACTTCAACTTAAATTAATAAAAATTGATTATAAATCATGAATGTCTCATTTTTTATTAAGTCAGAATAAAATATTTTGGTATTACAATCTTTGGTTTCGATATCAACACTTAAAATCCTTACAATTCACTTAAATGCAACGCATATCCGAAGATACACTTAACACGTTACAATACAGAGTCATTAAAATTCCTCTGAACAACTGGCATAACAACTCCATATGGTCCAAAATCGTTAGGAACATCTACTGGCACCTCATGACTCGTTTCTGGCGGGGAGAGTCCCCGTCGCGGCAGCGCGAATCGCAGCTTGTCCCAGAACCACGGATCACTAGTCTCCAAGTACGTGTTGGTTCGGAGATAGTTCTTTAGCTCAGGGTCCAGATGCTCCTCCTTCACAATATCATCCAAAACCACAACTATCAACCTCGCCCGGCCCTCGTTCAGCATACTCGCGTGCGCCATGCGGAACTCCAGCATCCCCCACACGGATTTTATGAAATTCCTCGACAGAATTATCAACGTACGCCGCGAGATTTCTATCGACACCGAAATTTGCTTCGGGATCCACTCGCCAATGATCCAATCACGATTGTGAATACAAGTTTTATAGTGTTCCTTTTCTAGCTCCGGCAGAAACTTTTTTAAGACGTAATCCTCATCGTCGTGAGAGAAAGAGATGAAAACGTCAAATGGACGATTCGCGTCGAGCTTCTCTTCCTTCAAGCAACAGAGACACAAACCTCTTGCATACAAGAAGATCTTAATGGCTTTTCCATATCGGAAATATACAGCAATAGCTAAGACTATCAAGCCTATCATAGCGAGTAAGACTGGCAGTAACATCCTGATAAGTATCGACTGTGGTTGACTCTCAAGGACACAGAGCGTGGAAACAGTAACGTTGCTTATTAAGTTTCCATCTTCTTTGCAGACGAGTTCGTTGTAGTCGTCCACCTGAAAGAAAGCACGTTCGTAGATTTCAAATATTATGTATATTGCTCATTTTGCCTTATATTGCCAGTTCTAAATCTTTAAACCCCAGAAGATAGGTGACGACGAGCTCAAATACTTAGGAGAGACGAGTGCCCAATTAGGTATTGATTGGTGGTTACAATGGAGTCTTGATCCGATTGTGTTAATGCGGTTGTGGTGTTGCGAATTGTTACAGTTTAGAAAACTAACATGTAAATACCTGTACATATTTAGGTTTATATTTTATTGGTTGAAAGTAATTGAAGGAAAATATTTACCTGATCTTTATGTTCATTCAAGATAGTAAGAAAAGCCTGGTTCTGGCAGTCACACACGATGCTGTTACCAGCTAGCTTGATATGTCTCTTTTTTGATGAGAACAATGCAGTTGCTGTTTCGTTGTCGATGTAAGAAAGGCGATTAAAACTTAAGTCAAGGAACTGGAATCAAACAACAGATTGAAAAAAAAAACTCCGAAAGAGGGCTTAGGCCTAGAAACTAGAATCAAACAAAAATAAATCTATATCGTCGTAGTAAAACATCATATTTTTTTTACTCTATTTATTTAGGGGCTTTGATCGTTATAGAACATGTCAGCCCCATTAGAAAAACGCTACTTCAGGAAAACATTTAGTAAAATCCAGACAGATTAATGAAAATACTACCTAACAAAAAAACAGTATACAAAATCTCCGCGACACTACATGCTGGCTCCGACTAAACAGATTGAAACCATTAAAAATTAACCCAACATTAAATATCCGGAAACCAGCCTGTGCAAATAACCAAGCCCTCATAGGTTCCGTCCGAATACACTCCATGAGCCAATGATGTACATCCTCAGGAATCCCACACACTTCGCAATTCGGTGAGTTCACCCTCCTCATCAGTTACAAAAATTTGTTTAATGGAACGTGTCTGAATCCAAGCCTATGCGCGCTGACAATTTGACCCCCGCTTAAGTTAACATGGTCAAACCAAGGGACACGAGGAGGCTCACTCTGTATAGTCTTGTACCAGAACATCATGTCATACAATAAAAAAAAATATTGAATTAAATAATTGGTTAATTATGAGTTAGAAATAATTATTTGACAGAATACGAACCCTAAGCTTTTCGGGCAGATCGTTGGCGGTGAAGTTCTTAATATGGTTACCCTGTAGATGTAGTTCACGCAAACTCAATTCTCGTGGTTGAGTCGTGATTTCGTTCTGTATATAAAAAATTAAAATTATAGAAACATTTACGTGTATATTAAATAATTAGCCTTTTAACAAATTTCTTTATTTATCGGTATAAAGCCACTATTCTATTGGAAGAAGTTATTCTCAGGGAAGGTGTATAATGCTAAAGCCATAGCCCTGGTTGTGAATTTGAATTTAATTTCGTCAGGAGGTGACAATTTCATCTGATTGTGATACGAAAAGATTAAGTACCTGTTGTAATTGCTTGTAGTCAGCATGCTCAAACGAGACTTTTTCAATGGCGTTGTGGTTTAAACGAAGTTTTAGTTGACTGCTGTTGAATCTCGGTAATCCTGTAAACTGCCGGAAGAATATTGTTCAGATGGATTATCCAGAATATTAATGACAAACGTGAGCGACGTATACAAAAGAGCTGAGACAAGTCTTCTATCCATGATTCTATCAACCATTTCACAAGAGTTTCCTAAAAATATGTACAAATTTTCAAAGTCCTTTAAAAGAATACTTACATCTAATGTGCTAATGTTGCAACTTGACAAGTCAAGAATTAAAAGTGATAGGGCTTGTAAGTTTTGAAAACATAATGTAGTAGTTGCAGTACGGGTCGCCACTAGTCTTCTTAAATTAGGCATCCATATATCCCAAATGTTTTCATCTAACGGTTGTGCTGAAATAATAACTAGATTAAATAAATCAATACGTTAAGTTTAAAAAGTAAGTTTTAAGACCGTATTTAACCTATCAGGGTTTTTAACGCATACGTCATCAACAGAGTGGTCCGCACGCTTATCAGGGTAAAGGGGAGTCTCATGGGCTGGTAACTTCCTTGCACTGATATTATAGAGGTGAGCATATTTTGGACGTTTTTCGAAATTCAATTTCATTGATATAATTTAACTTTTCTTATAAACATCTTTTCACGATTACAGTACAAAAATGAAATACATAGAAGACTTAAGTACTTTTTAAGAATTAAGACAAAAATTGCACTCATCCAGAGCATTCTATAACCGACACTGGACTAAACGTATGTTTGTTGTCCGGATTTGATAGTCTCCCAGTTTAATTGGATGGTTAAAGTGGAGATTTGTAATTAGCACTTGCACCTGTTACTTAACTTATATTGTTAGAAATTTTCTGTAAATCTTCCAAATATAAATAAAAAAATAAATTGAAAAGCTCCAAAATTTGTGTTTAAGACTTATCTTCAGACTTCGTAATTTTGGCCATGTCTCCTAATTTAAAAAATGAAAAGGCTTTACACACTTTTCCTTCTTCAATTTACTTTGTTCTATTTCTTTACGCCTCTTTGTCTTAAATAACGTTTTATTTTTGGTGCTCTAATGCACTATGAGTGTAACACTAAACATGCCAAACCTCATGTCTCAGATTTTAACTTCTACTGGTTTACTATATTTGCTATCCGGCTATGAAATTATGTCCCTGAACCTTTTATTAAACCTTTATTCGACAATCTCCTTCTCTTAATTCCTTCAAAAGAAATGTTTAAGGAACATTCCTTAACTTCTAAGTCTGTTTTTTTCTCCATTCTCTTCATGTATTTACTTTTTGCATAATGTTATAATCTTGTTAGGTTTATTTATTTATTATTATTTTATTTTCCCATAAAAATATATTAGTAAATATTTTTATTGTACTCATGCATTATTATCTCTCTATATGTATACATCCTAATGTATGTATTTATGATTATTTTGATATTTCTATTATTAATATGTAGTGTACTTATTTAAAACACTTCCATTAGAATATATTCTTTGGTGGATGGAAAGTTCCCCCTTACCAGCACTTAAATTGATATCCTCTGGTTGCCTAAAAGAATTGCTACTTAGCAGTAAGGCCGCCTGTTGTAAACTCTGTGATTCTTACATTACTGTTCTGTGTTATCATTGTAATTTTTTAAGTGCAATAAAGAATCATTTATTCATTCATTAAAAGACTCACCCGTACAGAGGTCCAATCTAGGATTATTGGATAAAGTAGCGTTTGTGAGAAGCCGTACGTGTAATAACATAGGACGTATATGAGCAGGGTTCCACAAATCGTTGTCAGAGAAATCTATGTCAGCTACTAGCGGAAGACCTTTTTTTCTGAAAACATACTTCTCTTTGTCAAGACCTAATTATTAGTCTAGTCGGTAAGTAAAACCATGTTACTGGTTTGATCTTTGATACCATGTTTAATTTTATGTATGCAAGAGCAAATTACTTTCCAGCTTGCGAGGATATTTATAATACAAAAAATATCTTACATTACAATACGATATATTCTGGATTTATGAATCTTGATACTTTCCAAGTACAATGCGTTGGTAATGGAAATTTCAATTTCAAACATGTTTATTGGCAGTTTAGTGATTTCAAGTTTACGAAGACTGGTAGCGTTGGTTAACTGGAATTTTAGAATGAAGTTAGTACATATACAATAAATAAACGTATGCATATACAAAACGGTGTTTACAATGCTAAGATGAAAGAGCCTTTGATTGAAATTACTGATATACACAGGTAATGATCAATTCTGAAAATATTGTTCAGTTACGTAGTTATTATTAGAGTCACGATAGGACTAAGAACAAAGAAGGTGATTCCAAATCAGTTGTAACTTTCCAGATTACAACTAGGTATTAACTAGCATATGAAGGGGTTCGTCAAGACTATTGAAAAGAAACTGTCCGAATAAGGTTACCAATGTAGAGATATACAACAAAAAATATTGCAGACTTGAGAACTTCCATTATTTAAAGTATATATAAATATAATATAACTAACCACTCGGAAAATAGTATCAACAGATGGAGTACGTAACACAAGTTGAGTTAGATTATAGCAGGTGGAAAGCCAGCCCTTTTCCACGTTGAAGCCGTGTACATTCCAGTTAATGAGAGTTAGTTGTCGGAGATGGCTGCAGCCGCCAAGTGCGTTGCGTGATTTGCCACTATCCAGGGTCATCTGTAATGATAGTAAAACTCAAACCTATCTATTTCTTTTCTGTCAATTGCCATTGCTTGCAGGCGTTCCAAGGCTATTAGATGCAGCTTTACCCGCTCACGCGATACATGCAGCCGTAGACGCATATTACACCTAGAGGTGCCGGTGACGATTTTATACCGATTTATCGGATATCGAAGTTATAATAGGTAAAAGAACTAATATTAATTGCTATTTCGGTAACTACTCTAGCAAACCATAAAGTTTTTAATGCCTGCGTCTGTCATTTAAAAAAAATAAACAACTTCAAAAATACGTCACGACAATCGTGTGTGTTATTGTTTGGGCTGGTGATTTCGGTGTTTATTTATTGAAAACATACCGTAAGTAGCGTTTTTTAAGTTTGCCCTGAATATAAATGTTTATAAACTATACTTTAAGGAGTAATTTCATGGTAAACGTTAGAACCACTCAAACGGAATATTATCATATTTATCCAAGTACACCAAACATTTTTAAGTGCAGGATTTGCGGTGTGTTACTGCATTTTATTTGAGATTATTTTGATGGTAGTACGGAGGGTATTTATTTAGCAATGCAGAATAATAATTTTTATTTATAAAAACTTGTATTTAAACTGAATCCTTTTCTAATTTGCGAAACCAAATAGCTGCCATTTTACAGTAGGAGGAGCGCATAGCCTGAGCGGCTAAACTTCTTTCTAGACACGTGGTCCTAAAATAGAAACCCCGTTCGAAAGTATGGCACCAACATTGTTATTTATCTTATAATAATTAACAATACTTCGCAACTTACAGTTTCCAGTACAGAGTTGTTTGGTAAGGTTGGCAGCAAAGCGCCGATCAAGTAAAACTCTTTTAGTGTCGAAGTATAATTGACAACGTCGTCTGGCACCCGAGATTGCATCAGGGTATTTTCTATGTAACTGCAAAACAACATTAAGGGTTACATTGTCTGAGCAGTTTAAATAAAAATATGACAAACTCGGTCTTATGTCGACCTTAAAGGAATACAGGAAGTTGGTAACAACATCACTATAGGCGATTAAAGTAACTGTAGATACTCCTAGCAGGTTGATGAAAGGGTACAGATCGTACTAAATGCTTTTCGTCTACGTTCATTAAGCGAACAGATAAAGAATGAAACTCTTTGCCGGCTTTTGTATACCCACAACTTGATTCTTTGAGGTCAGAGTAAACGCGATCTTTAGATCCAACGTCTACCAGAGTCTGTCACATCTTTACTTTTCTCAGGTAAGAAAGTACAGTGAAATAAATTCAGTTGAAAGCATGCCAAGAGGCTTATAGGTGAAGTCTCCGAATTCCGAGTCACCTTCCCCATCATTGCCAGACGTAGACTAGGGTTCACGGCAATGTTGTGTATATTCCAAGGATCCGCACGAAGCATTTTGCTTCCATATTTAATGGCAAACGGCTTTGTCACTCCACTGAATTCCCTGACTGTTGAGTAGAAATAGCAAATAACATTCCTATACAAGTTCTTCGTACCTTAATTCAAGATTAGAGATCCTAAGTCCACTGAAGAAAGAAGCTTGCAATGGCGGAGACGCAAAAAGTTCTGACAACACCAGTTTAGGTAAGTAGTCCACATCCACGTTCAGACTCTTTAATATTTCTGCGTACGTTTGGTTTGGATAGATGCATGCTCTGATCTGCACTTTCTGCAAGCGAATTACTTTTTACTCTATGTTTGTAATTATACAGAAAGGTGGTTTATTTTTTGAAAGTATCCTTAATATTTGCCTAATTATTACTTAACTGGGTCCTGGCCAATACCAGCGTTGTGGGCTACCGCGGCGTTTATGTCGAGTCACCGCCTTTCGCTGTCGAGACTTCCAAAACGCCTACCTTTTTAATCGACTTCAAAAAAGGAGGAGGTTTCCAATTCGATTATGTTACGGGATTAATATGGCATTTGTGAACCGATTTTGTTGATGATTTTTTGTTGAAAAGAGGCTCCTACCTACCTCAGTATTGGTCCCATTTGAAATATTCCACCTCTAAGGGTGACAAGCTAGGGGAAGCCGGTTTCGCGCACTTTCCGTTAATAGATTCCAATAAAACTTGACAAATAGATGTTATTCCAATAAACAGACTTTTGACGTTGGTTTTTTAAAAAAAAAAGTTATCCTTTTGTAATTTTATAGTTATTGTTTAGGTTTACTTGTTTTAGGCCAAACGGATCTGTCTTAACCTATTTTCGAGTGAAAATTCAGATATGCTAACCTACCGGTAATTTTGTGGGCTTTTCAAAGTACGGAAATTTGATCTCTTCCAAACTATTGTATATGTCGTTTGCACGATTGTGACATGAAAATGTGGTGCTATTCGTCGCTTCGATCATCGTTAAGACGCCTTCACGTCCTGAAAAAACAAAAAAGTGACATTTTACGTAGTTGAGATAATTACAGTGCTTCTATTTTCTCAACGTCTCTCACGAATATTAATTTCCGTGCCCATTAATAATTAGATTTAAAATCTATAACCATTTGAATGTTGAACAACGTACTTATTGTTGCTGTGTTTTGATTTTCGTGTGAACTATTAAATGCTCTATAGACCAGTGAAACTGTATCCCTATTTTTAATAACATTTGCTCCATGTCAGTGCCAATGTTGTGCCAAAGTTGACGACCTCGGTGGCCGAGCGGTTAGTGACCCTGACTGCTATGCTAGAGGTGGCAAATATTTGTATGATGAATACAAATGTTTGTACTCAAGTCATGGATGTATTATTTCGTATTTATGTATGTATTTAAGTAATTATAAGTATGTATATCCGTTGTCTAGTACTCATAAGTACAAGCATTTAGTTGCTTAGTTTGGGACTAGGTCAATTGGTGTGAAATTGTCCCCAGATATTTATTTATTTATTTTATTTATTTAATAAGCAATGTAACAAAACCATAAAGTAAATAAAGTGTGCTATGCTTCTTTACATAACTAAAAATGAATATAGGAAATGAAAATATTTTTCCGGATTTAAATCGCGTATATTTGTTTTTTCAAACAAACCGACGTTTCGGGCCCTTTACAGGTCCCATGGTCACGGTTGACTGAGTTGGTACAGTCTTCAACCAGTTATGTCTAATATTGATGCATATAAGTGGTGGCTCCACATAACTGGGTGAAGACTGTACCACCTCAGTCAACCGTGATTATGGGAACTGTAAAGGGCCCGAAACGTCGGTTTGTTTGAAAAAACAAATATAAGCGATTTAAATCCGGAAAAATAGTTTCATTTCCTATGTGTAACAATCACGAAAACCTAAGAACTCGATAAAAACGAATATTTTTCCGGTTAGAAAAAATTTCAGTTCAGTCCGTATCTGAACGCATTACTTCATCTGACATAACTACGTTAGTCTGTTAGCCATCGATGCAATAATCCGGCTTCTTGTAAAAAAACATAAGTACACGCTGTAAGTTACCTGTCGTATCTATGACTTTAGCGGCTTTCACCTCATTGTAAAATAGTAAATTTAGACGCTCTAGTGACCGCCTACCATGGTTATGTAGCATCCAACCTTAGGTATGGAATATTTTTTGGGGAAATGCACCACACATTGAACGCATATTCAAAGCCCAAAAGAGATGTATTCGGGCTATATGCGACTTGAAAAAAACAGATAGCTGTCAACCACATTTTAAAAATTTGAAAATACTGACTCTACCATGCTTATATATATTTGAAATTTCACTTTTCGTAAAGCGTCATCTTCATTTATTTGAATTCGTCACACGAGCCCGCCGTTCTCATCAACTGAAAAGTAGATCATGTAAAACTGCTCTACTTCAAAAGAGTGTAATAGTAATGGCTACGAAGGTTTATAACAAACTTCCACTTGAAATTAGGAATTGCAACGATTGTGCAGAATTTAAGAAATTATTATTTAATTACCTAAATGATTGGACATTCTATAACATTGAAGATTTCTTATAAAATTTACATTTCATATTATTAAATTTGTTATTGATTATTTTACTATTGTTATTATGTTTCATTAGTAATAGGTTGCATTAATTGGACTGCATGATTATAATATTATTACAAATTATTGCATGAGAATTACTAAAACTAAGAAAACTTTGTATGCCATAAGGCGGATCACAGTGATTCAAAATTCATTCTTGTAACAACTTTATAACCTGCGTATCACAAAGTAATAAATGATTTGATTTGATTTGTATAATAAATAAAAAATGTAAGTAATGGCAAATCTATATACTTCCAAGTCGATTGTAAGCGTCCGGTCTTTACCAAAGGCAAAGGGCAACTAAATAAAACCCGACGAAATCCGAAACACGAAGTTTGCCAAGAGATTTTGAGTTATTAGAAGCACTGTACATAAACAAGCCCCCATATTTGCGTACATTATTATATTGTTACGTCTTTCACAAAACGCCGTTTTGTATCGGGTATTTTTTTAAATTTATTTTAACTTGTAATTTTCAAGCTTTTATTGATTATCACAATGTTTTAGGTAGTTGTTTTTTTTTGTGAAATTGCTCCACTAGTTTGTTATAATTATTAATAACAAAGATCGAACACTTCCTTCGATCCGGCCGGATTCGAACCGACGTCTTCTAGCAAACCGTGCCAGACGCTATGCCAACTAAGCACGGAACGAACCAGCGGACTTCACGAATTTTTCTATGTACTTGTTGGTCGTGTCTTTGAAATTGAACTTTCTGAACTATGTTATAAGAGAGCAAGGAAAATGCTGTGGTATCTGCCTACCCCGATAGGAAAAGGATATCAAGTATATGCTTAAAAAAACTTACGTTTGTCGACAATGTAAATACAATGAGGTTTTCCAAAAGTCATAGTAAAAGTAAGGCGTTCCCCTATAACGGTGTCCCCATAACTGGTAGTGTACTGTAACATGGCACCAGTGTAGAGCCAGCTTAATGTTATCAGGAAAAGGGCGAATTCCATCTGACACAAACAGGAAATAAATAAGTAAATGAGTTTAATAAAAAGGATTATCAATCAATTCAAATACATGAATCCGGTTTCGGTTTCCGTTAACCGATTTCAATAAAACTAGGTAAATAGATTTAATTCCAATAAAAAAGCCGATAAGTCAAAGTCAAAGAATCATATTCCATAGTTAAATAAAAAATTTACACTTGAAAACGTCACATTTAAGCTACTGCTCGTTCACTACGCTGACCTCCCTGAGAAGAACGAGCAAGAAACTCTAGGGATTGCTCTTTTCAAATAAACTTAAATGCAATGGAACACACTTTGAATCACATTTGTGCGGAATCTAGAGCCATGTCACCTTTCCATACATCTTTATCTAACACGTAGTCTTCAATTTTGTAATATGACTTTTCAATCAAAATATTTTTAGCATAAGAACTGATAATCTTAATATATGCTCCGGAACCTTATTGTAAAAACGTATACAGTTCCCCATAAAAGATTCGTTTACCTTGGCTAAACGAAATCGTGGTACCATGAGTTTAGACTCAACTCTAAGGTGATAAACATGTTTGCCAAATATATCAAATATGCACATACGAATAGCAATGTGGAGTGCAAAGGTGCTGGTGAAACTACAAGCACGTGGGACTTGTCAACTTGTATATTGTGTGAGGCATAGTGCCAGCGTCACTCAGATCTTTACGATTTAAAGCTCTGAGTAGCACTGCAGCTATTATGGACAGGCGTAGTCCGTCACTTGATCTTATTAAAAATATTGCTTACCTTCGGAAATTCCTCTTTTTTCGATTTTCCTCAAGAAAGGTCAACTATTATAGTCTCTATAGTGAGTATCCTAACACACAAAATCGCACTTATTTATTTAAATTAAATAAAACTTAACAATGTATCTTTCTTATATAATGAAATTTCTTATACAAAGCTTTAGGTAGCTTTAGCTTACTAGAAACTAGCTTAGAAACTCGCGAAAACGCGAGTGCAATGCAAACAAGGACCCAATAAGGACTTATATAGAAAAAGACATTATTTGTATTAGCAAAAGGACTAAATAGTATTGACAAAACTTTACTTGCCGTACATGTTTTGATTCAATTTGAATTTTTATTCTATTTAGTGATAAACATATTTAATAGTACCACGTCTTGCACAGTGAAACTACACTTATTTAGTTGCTACCAACCTCCTGCGTTTACGCAAATAAAGTTATTAATAATAAAAAACACAAATCTTTACGTTTCTTTTGAAAACAATTGTTCTAACTATATTTACTATAATGTATTATTTTAACTAGAAGCGAAACCTCACTGTCCGGTTGCGGATAAACAACTAAGAAACGACCTTCTGATGACTAGTTTTATGTATTATACATGCTTTATTTGTATAGTAGGTATAATGAATAGGTGTGTGGTAGACGCTTCTTGCTACCTTTTGACGTAGTATGCTTATGACGTACTATATTTTAGTAGGACTAGAGCTCCTTGAGAAAGAGTTCATCTAGGGTAGTACTGCCACCTGACCTATTTCTGCCGCCAAACAGTAATGTCAGCATTAATATGTTCCGGTTTTGAAGGGTGCTGGTGAAATTTCAGGCACATGGGACTTGGCGGTGTCCGTCAGATCTTTGCGATTTAAAGCTTTGAGTTGCACTGCAACTGTTATGGATAGGCGTGTAACGTACCATCAGACGCACGACTAGTTCGTTCCGTCACATAATAATGTAGAAAAAAAATAGGTGGGGGATTTCAGATACCAAGTCGAACTAGTCGTGAGCTGTTGCTGTGTCCTTCAGAGAAAGGATTAAATCGCAAAGATCTGAGGTTTACTGCACCTGTTGCCCTGAGACATAAGTTGACAAGTTTCATGTGGTTGTGATTTCAGCACTCACTGCTCCTGCGCAGAAATGCGTAAGGTGACAGTAATTTCTCTGGACGAACTCTTTCTACTGCTACCATTGACTTAGTTACTAATATGTATTTAAATACTTTAGACATTTAAAAAGTAAACATAAGACAATCTAACCTTTGAGAATGTTTAGAAAATAAAGAAGAAATTTTATACGCATTGATGATGAAATGTGTCCTTCTTTCTTTTTCTATGTCCACACTAAGAAGGTCACACACGCGGTCATGGTCGAGGTACAAATCTTCTCGTGCTACAAATATCGAAAGAAATATCTTCTGCGACTTGATTAACTAATTTTGTTTTGGTTTAACATTTCATCTCCTTGGATTCAATCGACAAGGGTGCCTATAAGCTTCTTGGCTTATAGGCGACTCGGTAATTAGTAGAGGCGAAGCTGTGGAGCCTTGAACACCACCTGCTTATCGATACATGCTGTGTCGTCGACCTCATCGTCGCTTTCCATCAGGTGAGATGGAGGTCAAATGCGCACTTATTTTATATATAAAAAGGCCTCGATGAAAGACCTCTTTGTTTTAAATAACTGATATACACAGGTCAACTCTGAAAATACTGTTCAGTTTTTTTATAAAAAAAAATCCAATGGTGTAAATCCAATGAAAATAAAATGTTATAGAAACATCAGAGAATCTCTTCAATAGGGCTCATAAGATTTGTTTTGACGATGATTTGTCGGTTTTTTTTTACAAAAAAGTTATTCGTCTGAAACTAAAATTGTTGGTAATCGCTACATTGGTGAATGGTGTAATCAAATCATCGCTTGTCTTCAAAAAGGTAAAGTCCCAAACCCAGATTCATCTTTATAATAATTAAGTCTCATGATCATGATAAACTTACTGTTTTTTTGTTATTTTTTAATGCTAATAATATATATATTGTATTGGCTATTTGGCAAATGCTCTGCGCTATCTGTGTGCAATAAAATATTATTATATACATAGGTCCTTATGCCAAAATAAAATACTGAGGACAATAGTGGGTGATCCTTGGTAGATACGAAATGCGGATCTGCATCGCGATTTGAATATACGCCGAAGCTCACGTACATAGACTTCATCATCACGTGAACATAGAGGCTATACAGCTACTTGACAATACAAATATAGTGCGTAGACTGCAAAGAACTAAACCTTTGAATTGTTTTAGTGTAGTTATTTTAGTGAATAAAATAAATATTAGTAACATTTTTTTAATAAGACTATAAACACAAGAACGAAGTGTTTTCCCCTTAACTAATTTAAAAGATATTTTGTCAATGGACAATTTCTTTAGTTGCTTTTGTTTTAGGAAATTGTGTTAAATTGAAATTGCTTATTAGTTTTGTAAAATGGCTACATTGTAATTAGTTATAAGGTTTTGTTTTGCTTTATAACAAATAAAAAAAATTATATAATACTCCATCAGACTAAATCTTTTTGTTACAGTTTTTTTTGTCAGTTTAGTTTTATATCCAAGTTCCAAATTTAAATATACTAGTTTTCGGCGCCATTGAACAAAGTCAAAATGGCGGGTTTATGTAGTTGCAATTTTTATAGATATAAAATTAAGCATAGTTTGTTACGTATTTAAGCTGATGATTATGTAACCAATGCTAAATAAATAAATATTAATTTGGCGCCATTTTTATGTTGTTTGCCATTGTTTTTCTGTGTTTTATTTTCGTGCATGTTGTTTTTAGTCCTTTACGTTTATGAAATAAAGTGTTAGTTTATTTATTGTGGTCTTGCTCACTACTTTTTAGCACAGTGTTTCTTGATTTATATAATTATGACAAGTTATAATAATAATAAAGTATTATGTTTCAGAATCTTTTCCATAGTAATAAGTTCTTTTAGAACTAGAGTTAGTAGGTTTGACAATAAAATACAAACGAAAAGTATGTACTGGTATGTAGTTGCATCTAATGCTGTAACATTGGGGAGTCCCACAGGTCAATCCATCAATCGAATAATTCATTGTATGCGTAGATACGTCAAGAAGGTCTTAAAATAAGGACTAGGAAAACCCTGTGTCGCGGGTCCCATGGACACATACATAGAACATCACAAGTTACACCCAAACTCAAGAAATAAATAAATGTAGGCCATACAAATATTTCTCGCGGCCCGAGAATCGAACCCGGGACCTCTGCGTGGTAACCGTTCGGCCACAGAAGCAGTTGCATCAGATACTTTGGTATCAGTAGAGTAAGGAGACATTGTTGTATTAGTACGTATTGCCAATTTTATGGCATACAATTTACTTAATGTTATTAATATAATAATAATAATAATAATTAATATATATAATAAATTTAATAAAAATTCATATTGTTACAATAAAATTATTTGTAAAACAACGTAGCGTAAATTGGAATGTTTCTTTGTAAAATTAAAAATAAGGTATTTAATTAATAACTTTTGAAAATATAGTGAAAAACTAGGGTGGTTTGCATTAATATTGGACATAACTGGTTGATGACTGTACCACCTCAGTCAACCGTGACCATGGGACCTGTAAAGGGCCCGAAATGTTGGTTTGTTTGAAAAAACAAATATACGCGATTTAAATCCGGAAAAATAGTTTCATTTCCAATAAAAATTTTTATATTAAAGATAAGTGCGCTTTTGACCTTATGGAAAGTGACGATGAGGTCGAGGCTGTAGCATGCACATCTAAATAATGCCTATGCATACCTAAATATGCGTGTCATTTATTTTTTTTATTTAATACCAAATGACGAGACGAAAAGGTTGCCTGATAACGTAAAGATAATGCGCAACATAAGTTGACAAGGACGATGTGCCTATAATTTCACCAGCCCCCTTTACCCATCGGAACCGGATTACAGTATTTCTCACGTTACTGCTTGGTGGTAAGGTAGGGTACGGTAAGGTAAAGTAGGTAAGGTAGCAGTAAATCCCTGGGCGAACACTTTTACAAGTAGCTCTATTGCTACTAATAATGGAAAGTAACAACAATTATTTTAAGTAAATACATATATGTTAGGTTATAGGTTATCTAGTAGCGATTCTTATCTTGTTGTAATAATTACAATAATTGCTTAATTCGACAA